CACCCTGTGCAACACCCCACGCAACGTCCCATGCAACACCCCGTGCAACACCCTGTGCAACGCCCTGTGCAACACCCCACCAACACCCCATGCATCACCCTGTGCAACACCCCACACAATGCCCCATGCAACGCCACGTGCGATGCCCTGTGCAATGCCCCATGCATCACCACATGCAACGCCTTGTGCAACGCCCTGTGCAACACCCCGTGCAACGCCCTGTGCGATGCCCCACGCATCACCCCATGCATCACCCTGTGCAACACCTCACGCAACACCCCATGCATCACCCCGTGCAACACCCTGTACAATGCCCCATGCAACACCCCATGCAACGCCCCATGCGATGCCCCACGCAACACCCCGCACGATGCCCTGTGTGATGCCCCGTGCGATGCCCCACGCATCACCCCATGGAACGCCCCACGCAACACCCCACGCAACACCCCATGCATCACCCTGTGCAACACCCCACGCAACGTCCCATGCAACACCCCGTGCAACACCCTGTGCAACGCCCTGTGCAACACCCCACCAACACCCCATGCATCACCCTGTGCAACACCCCACACAATGCCCCATGCAACGCCACGTGCGATGCCCTGTGCAATGCCCCATGCATCACCACATGCAACGCCTTGTGCAACGCCCTGTGCAACACCCCGTGCAACGCCCTGTGCGATGCCCCACGCATCACCCCATGCATCACCCTGTGCAACACCTCACGCAACACCCCATGCATCACCCCGTGCAACACCCTGTACAATGCCCCATGCAACACCCCATGCAACGCCCCATGCGATGCCCCACGCAACACCCCGCACGATGCCCTGTGTGATGCCCCGTGCGATGCCCCACGCATCACCCCATGGAACGCCCCACGCAACACCCCACGCAACACCCCATGCATCACCCTGTGCAACACCCCATGCATCACCACATGAAACACCCCATGAAACCCCCGATGCAACGCCCCGTGCAACAGCCCGTGCGACTCCCCCGTGTGACACCCCATGCAATGCCTCATGCAACACCCCATGCAACCCCCCATGCAGCATCTCATGCAACACCCCGCGCAACGCCCCATGCAACGCCCTGTACAAAATGCTGTGCAAAATCCCGTGCAACGCCCCGTGCAACGCCCCACGTGACGCCCCAGGCGCCGCCAGGCTCACTCCGCCGGAGCGTCGTCTGCACCGAGAGGTTGGTGGCCAGGTCGTGGCAGGCCTGGCGGCGGGCCTCAGCGCGCTGCACCCAGGTGGCGTTGGCGTTGAGGTAGGCGGCCACCAAGTCGGCGACAAACCAGAGCAGCCCGCCGTCGCAGCCCACAAAGTG